CATGAAAGCCAATCACTCCTCTAAAAATACAAATTCGTATTACTTTTTCTTAACAAAACAACAGCACAAAAGCAAACACCTAGGCTAATGTCATCAAAATGTGAGCGCAAATGTGATTTTTTTTTTTCTTCCTGACAGAATACCTGGTGCAACTGTTTACCTGCTTCATGAAAGTCAAAATCTGAGCTTCTGCCAAAAGCGATTTTAAAAAACTCTCCTTTCATCCAGCTGTTGATTGAATTAACATCCTGGAAAGCTGTTAATGTCCAGCTGGGTGCTGCGATCAGGCTTGCCAAAGTCATGTTAAGGATAGAGAGGAGACTGGTTTCCTGTTTAATCTCCTTTTTAATCACATTCCCACCCTAAAGCTCCCAGCTGTTCTAAAATTTCACTCCTCCTGTCACTGGAGCGTCCCTTGTGGATGTAGATGCCAAGGCAATGCCCAGTTAGCTCAGCAACAAAAAGATACCGATCGATGTTGTTTTGATTTTTAAAGCAGACATAGCAAAGGGCTTCAGTGACTCTTGTAGGAGTTGATAGCATTCCTTATATAGTAATTGTGGGAGAGCCCAGTTTTACTGCATTCAAGTGTAAATGTGTGTAGTGGGCAAATGGCCAAGCTCTACAGGGGCTGTGCCAAGGAGCGGGGAGGCCATCGTGACTAGACTTTGTGGTTGCCAAGCTGTGGAGTGCCCATGGCCCTTACCCAAGGAGCCAACAACTCCTGAGTAATATCCCCTTAATGAATATGTCGTCTTTCTCCTTTTTTCTTTGTTAAAATATTTCTTTGATTCATGCCATGCATGCCAAATGGTATTACTGAAACAAACGACTAATCAGAATTAGTTTGGTATTCTGGTAAAAATACTACCTCCATATGATTCATGTTGACATCAATATAACATTGTACAGCACTCTTAGAACAGTATTTTATGCATTTTTCACCATCATGCAAGATAGTGACATTGCTCAGAGGACTAGAGAAAATTTCATAGATGAGAAGTTTTCCTGTTCACTGACCGTGGCCACTTTGCCAAACTGAGGTGCCTAATGACAGTTTATTCTTGGGAGTGTTTCTGACTTCCATATAATCAAGAAGTGTGCAGCTACTTTACCTTTAGAAAGAAATAATTGTGTGCCCCTTAGATTTCAGATTGGTCAGTGTATGATGACGGAAAAGGACAATCTATGTTCCTTGTTGGCATATTGTAAGTAAAATTCACCAATCTCAAGATTTAACATTTTACATTTTGCTTTTGGTGTGGTTCAGTTTTAAGAATTTGAAGTGAAATGAAAATTTTATGGAAATGACTTTTCAGTATTTTTTTCCTATTTGCTTATTTCCTGGCGCTCCAGAAGTAGTAGTACATAGTAAAGTAGTAGATGGACATAATATACCATATCAAATCATACTCCAGCAGGACAATTTCAATAAGATTAGAAAGCTAGCAGTTAGCAATAGGCATGTATTAATCTTGCATATTGAAATGAATTGTTCTTATTAGCACAGTGAGGCCTTAGCTTTTCATATTCAAGATCTAAGGCAAATGAGTGCATACATATGTTCATCCTTTGGATTTAAAGTTCTCTTCAGCATTAAATGAATGAAGAGATGATAGATATACCAAGGAAAAAACCCCACAGTATTGTAAATAAAGAGTTTGAATATGTGTGTATTCCCATGTACTTCTCCATTCCCTGTAAAAACTTGTCATATGTTTGCTTACAGCTTCGTGTCTTCATTTAATAAATAATAATGTGAAAGTCCCTAGTGGAAGGAACTTGTTTGATATTTCTAAATAGAGAACTATTTGAAAATTTTTTAGGAGTTAGGAAAGTTAGTTGTCCTAATGGTATCCAATTTGTAAGTGGGACTACCAAATTAAAGAGAAACACATGGTAGTCAGAGAATCGCTTTTATTTTTCTGAAGATGGTATAATACAAAGTCCGTGACTGAATTTGCAAGTGTAGTGAGAGCTGTATTAACTCCGAGAAGGAATTTAGTAGGAAAGTGAAGGGACCACACACATCAGGTGATTTACACTATGAAAGTGAAAACACTTTATAGATCAAATCTGTACCTCAGGCTCAAGTTTTACTGACTAAATTTTAAGTCTGGGAAAACAAGACCTTACATGCTCAGACATTTTGTATAGGTCCAGCAAGCGTCAGAAATCTAACCAAAAAAAAGGAGAGAGACCTAGAGGCACCACCTAATTTAACTAAGGAGTTTCTGCCTCTGAGTAAAGGAAAGTAACAAAAAATGTGTTTACAAAGCAGTTATTTTTACTTGAATGACCCAATATTTTAAAGATGATACACTTCTAATATTACAGATGGTCATAGGGCTGTATGGTCTTGAAGAAAAAGAGGAAGCTCAAATAGGATCATGACCAGAAATAGTGTGAAAAGCATGGCTTCATATTATAAAACAACCTCATGGAATCTAATACAATAAGTTATATGATAGTTGGTCAAGCACATCATTAAAACGGTGAATGATGTTTCAGACAGCCTCATTAGGTAAACCTGCCAAGTTAGGAGAAAAGGAAAAAAAATGAAGAGATAGGGTAACTGTTGAAATGAACTGTCTCCCTATTATCAGGTGGCTTCCCATAAAAGATGAGAGAATCAAGGGGCTGTAATAGCATCTATGACTGCAACTCTCCCGTGTCCCAGTGGAATGGGATGAGGACTTGCTGAAGTTCAGTCTGAATGGCTGAATTTCAGAAGCTGTTGGGAAAAGATTCATGCTGCTCTCTGGAGTAACCCCGAAAACTAGTGTAACCCCTGGAGATAATACAGTCTCCTCATCTGTTGTGAATGGGCAATATACATCCACTTGGCCTTATCTCATGATTTTCCTTGCATATTCAAGGTATTTCCAAGATAGCTCACTGTAGTTTTCTCTAAGTTTGAAAATTAATTTTACTGATTGTTTTTTTGTATTTTAAAGAGGTTAATAAATATGGGGAAATAAATGTGATGTTGAGTGTGATTCATATGATTTGTCAATATAATTAACATAAATGGAATCATTATGATTTCTTGGATGTGTTTTGAGACTGTGCCCAGCACAAGATATGACCAGTACCGTCAATGATCTCTGTGGCCCAAAAGATGAAATTCCAATTTTAGCAATTCCAGCCTGACAGGGAAGGCACCTGCCTCAGGAGGGCAGACAAGAACCCCATTTCCGAGCTTTATGACTTTTTCCTAGGTCGAAGACCAGTTAGGCAATGTTCCTTCTGGACAGCAGAATGAACGATAGTAAAAGTGATGCCCATGCCACTTCATCAGTGGAAAATATGATGTGTTCACAGTGGAACTGCTGTAGAACATTAACACCCACGCTGTCAGTGGTGTGGCTGCAGTGTCAGAGTTAATAGCTTGTTCGTTTGTATTTAAAGATAACATTGCTTAGGGCTAGATTTATGACACCACGCTTAGATCTGTTTCAAAAGAGGCATGCTGCAACCAAGGCGCTCAGGAAGGCTTTGGACATGGTCCTTTCTACAAGGGGTTGGATGTTGTGGGACCCCTGCGTTTCCCAGGGGCTGGGGCTTTAGTAGGAGGGTTTCTTCCCAGTCTCAGCTTTGGTTAATGCAGTGGTAAAAATGGTGTCGAGCACTGGCGGCTGTTACGTTAACCAGAATAGCATTTAATCTTCTTCAAAGATCAAAGGAGTACAGAAGTCCCGAGGCTGACGCTAAACTTCTGGTGACTTGTTGCTGCTCATCTTTTGCCACTGTTTCCATCAGTGGTGCTGAATCACAAGGTGCGGCAAAGGGAAATTTTGAAGTGAAACATGAAAGACCCTTAAGAGTTTACAGTGACTCTGGTTATTTTCCTAGCAGGCAAGATTTTTCAGAAAATTTGAGGAAGGTTTTTATATATTTTATCGATACTTTTCTGCTTGTTTTGCTTTAACTCAGGAGCCATTTCAGTTTTAGAAGATTACTATAACATAGTAGATGTATTTGTGTTCCTGGTAAGCAAAATATCCCTTAGAGAATAATTTTCTTGATGTCAGTTCAAAGACAGTATACTAAAATTTGAAACTGCACCTATTATGGACTTCAGGAAAAAATATTTTGAAAGTTAAAATTTACCTTTATTTTTTACACTGTCAGTTTAGTGACAGCTATTTCTTGCTTTAATAGTGGTTAAATGCAGGCTGTTCCATTACCTGTGATGGGGTAATTTTGTAATTATATAGACATAAACAATGGCAGAATTCGGTCCTTCACAACCACAGAGCTCTAACTTCCTAGGAAACGCTGACATCCTAGGTCACATGTATGACCTCTGTTCTCAGCTGCGATCTCTATCTTCGTCTGTTTTTCATGTTAACTTTGAACGTATATCAAAGGCAGGCGCTTCAAAGTCAACTGCAGTGAGTTTTTTTTGAATACGGTTTTGCATATCTGTCAGTGATTTGTGAATGTCCTAGTTAATCGTGCCTTAATATATTATTCCCATGTCAGTTTATGAAATTATATAGATTGTAACTGACTAAAAAGCAGAATATACAAATTCAGTCTCATTTTAAGGTCTAATATTTATGTATTATGTGGTATGTCATAGGTATTCTTTGCTTCTGTCATCTGCTTCTGTCAGAAAAATATGAACAGTAATTAGAGGGTTAAATTCTTGCTCAACAGGCATATTTTTGGATTTATGCTTTTGTAACAGAGCTCAGATTCTAGCTCAGTACTTTGCAGTTAAGGGAAGCTCTGCATGACAGAACTTGAGCGTCTGAGAGAAACGTGGCTTGTCACACACATATATGACAAAAATGAGACACCGTACCAGCTATTCCAGTTTTGCAAGGACCTTGCGTTTTCCAGCTGTTTACCCTTGAGATATAAAATGGCAATTTGGCATAGGCTAACAACACAGTGTGATGTGAGCATCTGCGTAAAAGGCTGCACATATGGAGCATGCCCAGTGATACAAAAGCCGCTTACCCCCACCCCCATCCAATCTAGGAAGAGATGAAATGAACTTTGCACTTGCAAATGTCACTGAATATATTTCACACAGGATTTTAAAAGGTTCTCTTATAAGCACTATTTTTAACAGCCAAGCCCGCCCCCCAAAACAACAAGGAAAAAGCCCGAGGTATTTTTTTTTTGTCATCGATCTCAGTCTGTTATCAATTGAAGCATCTCTCACAACATTTACCTGAAGTCTGGCTTATTTTATCTTTTCGTTATTCAAGTTGAGGGTCTTTTTTTATTTTTTGGTGCTGAGTGTTTTTTTATTCTTTTTTTTACTGGCATGAGAAAATTTGAGAATTTAATTGCACTAGAATACTTGGAAACAGTGAGGCTGGGAGCTTGAAAGGCAGAGGGAAGAGAAGGAAGGCTCTCGCAGCAGAGCATGGATAGGAAAGGAGCAGTGATTCTGCGGTGCTCAGCGTGCACATGTTTTATGAGATCAGTGCCGGGCGCTGCAGCTGCGGACAATAACTGAGCTGTCTGGCTAATGAAGGCCACCTGGATCAGGCTTCTGAAAAGAGCCAAAGGAGGACGTCTGAAGAATTCTGATATCTGTGTAAGCTCTGTTTTTGTTATTGGCATATGTTATATATGTTACAGAGAGAGGGAGAGGAAAACACGGTAAGGAGAGGACAGTTGTTTTCATTCTGATTGAATTAGCAGAAGTCTGTTTTGTATGCAGGGAGATGCAGAGAGAAATCAGAGCTGTCATTATTTATAGAGCTGTTCTGGCATTGTGACTAGTTCCATTGTGGCGATACACGGACGCGTGTTGAGTCCAGACAGATTTTATTAGTTGGAAGTTGATTTGTGATCATTTACATGTTTTGCTGAGGGGCAGAGATGGATTTGAGCCATTTTCAGTTCTGATGGGGAAAGTATGTCAGGTAAAGATATTGCCCTGAAATGAAAATGGGTAGCACAGGTTAAAGCTCTTAGCTGTAATATTGTGCAAGGGTAATTATTGATAAAAAAAAATTTGCATTTTTAAAATAAAATTTGTTTCCTCCTTCATACCATCATTGTTTAGAGTTTTAATTTTATGGAGCCATCCTTGAAGCTGCTGTGTGTCCTTCAGCCCTGCACTGCACCACTGCTGTAACTCTACAGAGTAGCTGGCTCTGCTTACTAAAAAGCATGCAAATAAGAACATGGGAATAGTGCAGGAAATAAAACACTGGGTAAGACACCTGCACTTTTGGAAGGTCTCCAGAGGAAAACATTTACTTTTTTTAGCCATTTAATTTTTCTAAGTGATTTCCTCTTCTGTGCAATTATTCTCTCTTCAGAGATGTAGAAGTAAGAGAAAAAGCAAGGTGCATAAACACTTCTACTTTTTTTTTTTGAACACTGAAACAACTTGTGACATTATTTTTCCTTTCCTTGTGCAGGGTTCGGCGGATTCCTACACCAGCCGTCCATCCGATTCAGATGTATCTCTGGAAGAGGACAGGGAAGCAGTGCGGAGAGAGGCAGAGCGACAGGCCCAGGCACAGTTGGAAAAAGCAAAGGTAAGGTGTTTTTTCACATCAGATATTCATTAAATATTTTGTTTTGAAGGATTGCCATCTCATCTGTTACCAGTACAAATGACTTCTGTTGTGTTAACGTGTTGCATAAGACTTATTATAAAGATTTTCCAGACAACAACAGAAAAGATTTTTTCCAGAAAAAAATCAGTTAAAATCAGAACTTTCTGTTAAAGGCACTATCTTAGCTTGCATATTTTAAAATAAGTTTATTTAAGTGTACTTCCTTTTTTTTTTCAAGTTGAATAAAGCCATGTATTTGCAGTATATAGGGTCAAAGGTTTGGGTTCTTTTTGAATATGTTAGTGGAAGTTTGCCTAAGCATGATTTGGATGCCTATGACACTTAAAACTAGACCTCAAACATCCTGTTCATCTCCCTTAAATGAAGGATTGGTCCCTATAAGTCCTATGTATATAAATACAGAGAGTCTACTGCAAAGATCCATTTTTTCCTGAAGACTTCACTGGCTTTCTTTATAGTTTGAATGTTAAACTGTGAATATTATGAGCTAGGACTTGTTAAGATTTCTCCTTCTAACTCTGGACAGATAGTGATGGATTAATATGGAAAGGCTAAATGAGCTCCAGATCCTGGTTGTGTGTTTACATCTTTTCCATGAAACGGGTATAGGACTGTGAGGTTTTTAGCAGTAATACAGCTGAAGGGTATGTGTTTATTTTTCCTTAAGTACTCTTGCACCTGTAAAAACCATGATTATCTTAAATTTTTTCATTCATTTATCACTTCATTCCAGTTTTTATTTCTGTGTGCTGTCTGGTGTAGCACTGTTCTCTAAGGTCTGTTTTTCAGTTTCATTTTTTACATTTCAATATTGAAATACACTGTTGAGGCATCTCCTCAGATCTCCCTTTTTTCCTTCCCGTGATCTCCGTGTTTCTCACTTTCTCTCCTGTTCCCCTCCTCCATTTTGGCTTGTTTTTTTATTTCCCTATCTCTGGTCCATCTCACATTCTGTTTCCTTTTCCGCTGCCAGCTTTGCCTCTGCCCGTTTACGCCACCCTCTGTTACAAGGGTTGCTCATAAATTCAGGAGTTCAGACTATTGAGATATTAACCTGATTACGGGGAGAGGGCCAGCTCCATAAATAATACAGTAGTATAATGCACAAACAGCCAGTTTCTTTAGGCCAGAATACTTAAACAGGGAAGCCAAAGATATTTTTTGGAAAGTGTAATAGTTAACAGATATTTAATAAGAGCTCCTAAAGCAGGTTTTTAATGAGCTGCTGGAACGTGCCAGCCACAGGAAACGCTGAACGTCTCTTTGAAGTCTAGACCTACTGTCTTGGGATCAGCGTAGCCGAAGCGCCGCAGCAGCAGACCATTTCTTCCCCGCCACCTCGTATCTGAGAGTTATTGCTGATCGTAATCAGGAGTTTCAGTTTGGTCAGGGTCTCTTTTGTTAGTTCAAGATCTCTCTGCTCTTAGGAGAGAAGATAAAATTCTGCAGTTCAAATAATACTGAGTTTCAGAGTAGTCTTTATCAGTAAAATAAACGGCCTTTTAAAGAAGGGTTGAAGTAATAATATCTTGCAGACTAATAAGGGTAGCACTGTAACACTTAACTGTTGAACTGATGCACCTCGTAGTGATGAGCACATCTATGCGAGTGTTGCTATGGGAATTTGGCTTACTGATGCTGGCTTGACTGCAGGGACAGCCCTTATGTAATATTCATGACCTCTAGCACAGCTGCCATTGTAGTTTATAGAGATTTACTAGCAGACCCTGACTTTTAAAAACGGTATTTCTATGTATCTATCTATCAAAGCAATGTCTTCACTCCAGCTGGCATATGATACAGTCTCTAGGTCTGACACCGTCTGAGACTATAAGACAACTTGTGAACAGTCAAAGTAGTAAAAGCATTGCCAAAATCAACCTGTTACAACAATGGGTAATTTCAGTCGTATAGAAAACACAAAATCAATTATTTAAATCACTTGGGCTTTAACACAGATTAAAGCTGGAACTACGTAAGCAGCTTTGTTTCTTGAACCAAAGGGGTTGAAACAATTCTGGGTTGCATTGTATAGAGATGATTTCACGTAGTGGGTAATATTTAAATTAATGCTGTTAATTAAAACATTATACATATTTGTGGCTTGCATTTTAAATAGGTGGTTTAAGAGGCACAAATTGAATCTAACTCAGCATATCCGAAATATTATAAGGTATATTTTCCTGCCTCCGTTTGTCATTCGGTTCCTCACCTCCCTGAAACACAGTAAAACTGATGAAATAGCATGGGCAGAAGTTACTGTTTCACTCCTGTCTGCAAGCAGCAGGTTTTGTTGCCTGCTCTCCATGGCTGCTTCGCCTGCGCCTGGTGAGCCATCAGCCAGAGCCAAGTGACGCAGCTGCTTTAACTTTTTGCCTTTTAATATTATGAGTGGAAATGTTGATCCTAAATAAAGTCATTATAATTCTATTTGTCACAGGAATTAGCAAAGGATGACATGCATGAATAATGCAGAGGTTGAGGGGAAAATGATAGTGAATTAAGAGTAGATTTAAAAAAAAAAAAGTTCAACTGTCATGCAGTAATGAAAACAATTTAATGACATCCATTTTCCTTCCTTACAGTTAGGAAAAACACCTTGAATTACCCAGAAAAATATATTAATAAAGCACACAAAGGCTAATGGTTAGAAGAGTTGGATTTTAAGATGGATTTGTGTGGATTTTATATGTCCATATACCATGAAGCCAGAATAGGCATGTCTGATCAGTATCAGGTCTGTGCAGCATCACATTTTAAAAAAAAAAATCAAGAGACTATGAGAAAGTGTGAGTGCTTGCCGCTCTTGGGGAAAAGCGATGGGTAGATTTTGCTGACTCACTGAGGCATGTGACTCTCCAGTGACTTGCTTGTGGGGGAGGTGGGGCCGCAGGAGCAGAACCCGCGGTGTCCGGGGGGGGGGGGGGGGGGGGGGGGCGGGGGAAAAAGCCGCTAGTCCCAGGGGAAACGGCTCCTCAGACGAAGCTGTTAGGCTTGAAGCGCAGGTAAAACGTTCTGGTCTAGAACATGTGAACACTGCGGATGCAAAAAAAAAAAAAAAAAGTGTGTGGATTTTTTTGTTTTTTTGGTTTTAAGCCCTTCAAGGCAAAACCCTGCTGGGAATGCTCCTGAGGACACCTCTGGGTGAAGGAGGACCTGCGCTGTGGCTGAGTACGGAGCTCTCAGAGCGCTCAACTCGAAGCAATTCTTCTCATCTTTTTTTGAAATAATCTTTTATGGAAGTATGACGTTATAAAGCTTACGTGTTCAGAAGCGCAGAATAAATAAGGCTAATGACCCTTACATTTTGTTGCTTTTAGCGTTCATATTTCTATAGAAACAACAGATTTTAAACTCTTTAGTTGTGAAGGACAAGCACTCAAAAATGAATTATAGTAAGTAAAGAGGTTCTTTGTCCAGTCCTTGCTAGTATTTGACTAATTATCTCCTAAAATATTGTAGGAGGTGAGAAGGATGAGATCAAAAACTGTGAGGTACAAATATTGGTGAGACCCTACAACTCAGTATAGATGAACTAAAGTTTATACATAAGAAAACAGGAACTTTAGTAATGATTTTTGGTCCTCTTCAGAGCCAGTGAAATCAACTCAAATAGCTTACTAATTTATTTTTCCTCAGGCACATCAAATTCTCCTTCCCTGGAGATATTCAAAATCCGCCTGGACGCAGTCCTGGGCAACGTGCTCCAGATGACCCTGCTCAAGCAGGGGGGTTGGACTAGAGGATCTTCAGAGGTCTCTTCCAACCTCAGCTGTTCCGTGATTCTGTGAAGTGTTCATGAAGCAGGTTTTGATTGAAGTGCCATTATTCGGGTGGTATATAAACCTCTTTCTCCTCTTCAATAAGTAGTTTAAATAATTTTTTTTATATATATTTTGCGGGGTTTTTTTTTCCCCTTCCATGACTCTAGGGCTCCTTAGGCAGAGGCAGTTTTTGAAGGACTTCTATTGACTAGATCACAACACACAGCAGTCTCGCATATGTTCAGCATTTTAGCAAATGCAATAATCCGTTTCAATTATTTCTAATACATAGATGCCAAATACCAGTTAATCCAACTTCTGGTTCTCAAAGTCAAACCATGGCTTTTCAGAAGTCAATATCTGTGTCCATAATAGGAAAACTCAGTTCCTCTCAGGTGCACTTTGCTTGCAGACAAGCTAATACTCTGCTGCTGACACCATTTTAGGAGGTGTTAAAATTTGAAATATCTATAGTCCTCAGTTAACACTTAATTTTGATCATTTTTTACACTAAGACTGTGAACCACTGAAATTTTGATACCAGGCATCCCTTTGCTGGCAAAAATACAGAGCAATACTATAAGCTGACATATTTTGCTTTCTTGATGTATACTCCAGTAGCGTTGATGGCTTCTAGTGACAGTAATAGTGCAGTGTCTGTTGTATTGCCTCCGTGCCCAGGTTGGGGACGACTGCTTTGAAATATCTAGCAGGCTGGGGTGATGCCTAAATATCCCTGCAAGTAGTATCTGCTGAAGGCATGACAAAGGTTGTCAGATGCAATTGCCCAGCTAAGTGTACCAGGACTAGTTATTTAAGTATTTACTCACTCTCAGGTGGGTTTCACAGCCCCTGAATAACCCCATGGTGTTAGCAGGCAGCAGCAAAGCTAGTTAAGGTCTGTCTACTTAAGCTGCAGTAGCACTTTTTGATGGACCGTAAGTGCCCATCACTAAAACATATCCTTACATTATGTCAGCCTGTTGCATCGTGGAGACTCTTTTCCCTCCCCTCTTAACGTGAGGATATTGGGTACCCAGAGCCATGGCTTGCTCTACTCCCTTGTCCAGCAACATAGGGATAGTACTTTGTGTCAGCTATTGTATATGATAACAATATTATTGATTTCTTCTCATTTGCCCTTTTGCTTTAGAATACTTCCATTGCATGTTATCATTTAGATATCTAATGTTC